AAAATCGTGAAGGTGCACTTTAAGCAGTCGGAGATTTGTATGACGATTTTAGTAATATAGGAATGCCGGTTCTACGATAGGCAGCCCACCTCTTGCATGCGCTCTATTTAGGCAATTATTATCTGTACTTTATTGTATTTTATTAATTCACAAATATATTGTTGAATAATTCAATTTGCGAAAAAAGCGAAAACATAACAAGAAAGCCGCAAGCGCGCGCTTTATTTACCTGATTCTTTGCTTGGTTGTTATTCTTTGGATTTGTGGGCTTCCTGTGGAAGCTCACGTTTGAAAATGCCAGTGGACTTTTCTTCTCCGTCGTGAATATTGTACCTTAAAGTTGTAGCGCCTGCGTTGCAGATGGTCTGCAGTCTAAGTTTCCATAAGCTAAATCAATGCACGCTTTGTTTTCATTTTTGACATGTTTTGTTTTGTACGTCAGTCGGCCTCGTGTCCTGATCGCGATATCTACGGCTTTACTGTGACCAGCTGCTTTGTTTATAAGCCATGAATGTAAATCATGACAAAACCAAAGGCTGTAGTAGTACTTAGTTCAGTTCGGTAAAAAATAAAGATGTAATAAAGATGTAAATTACTTCTTAAGCAATAGGTGACATTTTCCGTGTGTACATAGCCTAATGCAAACACGAGGGCAGGCGAGGGTAGGTTGGGAGCCTCCCATTCCGTTTTCCCCCCTTAAAAAAGGTAGGTAAAACTAGCAACGGAATGTGTGCTTCTTTCGCTGAATGAAAACATCATATCTTCGTCGATTCATTGATTTGAATCTAAAATAAAGGTTTATGTTACTTTCAGAATTGGTATGAAAATGATATCGAGATGAGATTTTTGAAATGTTGTCCAATATAAACGAATCGATTCCACTCGTGATTTGCCTTTGACGACTGGTAGACCGACTGGTAGACCGACTGGTAGACCGACTGGTAGACCGACTGGTATCTATTCGTGACCTAGTCATATTCATTACTCGGGGTTCCTGTGGAACCGCGAGTTTAAATTTCGGGCTTCTTATTTTTCTTATTTTTTTTTCATTGTCGCTTATCAGTCACAAATTGTCCATAGGTAGCCCAAGCTCATAATCAATTCTAAAAATGCTATTTAGAGGCSAAATTAGCRAAATATTATTATTGTCCTCGATAGAACATCTAAATCAAAGTATTATTGCSAAATTTTGAGCCAAAATAATGCTTATTAACAGAAATACAAGCAAACGAAAATTGGTAAGGATGTATGGGATTATCACGGCTCAATGCGTTTTAGACAGGTCAAGAAATACCTACAAAAGGCTGTGTTTTAAGATCTAAATGAATTTTTCATGTTCATGGCCGAAAACAGCATATAATTCCCAACAGTTATGCAAAGTTTGAAGTCAAACTGCGATTTTTTTAGCAAAAATATAAGCGTTTGAATATGGTCTTACTTTACGAATGTATGGGAACCACGCGGACAGTAACTCCGATGAGTGTCGAAATGAGCTCAAAACTAATGATTTTGCTTCAGTTTTCTAACAATATCATTCTAAAAATTTAATTTAATGCTGAGACTATACTTGTTTTAAGATTTATAGGCTTTCCGAGGTTAATTTGGCGTGTTTCAAGTAGTAGCTTGACAGTATTGCGTGGCATATTTTTGAACGTTGATAACGAATAAACAGCAAAAAAAGGTGAAACTTTCCGAGAGAACTTCTATCATGCTCTTCAAGGTATTTTAGTACTTTAATGTTGTGTGTCTGTGATTTTAGAATTTTTTTCGACTGTCATTATCGAGAATTGTCTATCAAACAAGCTACCTATCTTAGCACAAGCGAACTATAGGAACTTATGCAGGCTCTGAAACTACTAAGGTCTCGTCTAAGGAATGCGAACAGAGTTCTTCTGAGGAAAAGCCGACGAATGGAAGAGCGGAGAAGATATTAAAAAGACTCTGTGTTTACAGCCTGTCATGTGACTATCAAAGTGAGACCGGCTTGCTGATGATCAATTTTTTCATAATATTTATGCTGAGTACACTGTTTTTTAATTATTTTTTATTCCAGGATGTTTTTTTTTATTTACGCCTTTTGATAGTATGACTATTAACTTTATTAAGGTTCAATATAGTCCAATTCGTCTCAATTCTTCGACTACAACACTCATTGTTGTCACTTCATCGTTTTAATATATTCAAGCAGAACCCTGAGTTCACGCAGCTATGCGTCTGGTTATTACTTTGAAAGGAGATATTACCTCGAGTGACTTTCATTTAAGAAGTGACTTCTTTTATCTCTGTATTTCTGTTCACTGAAACATTTGTGAATCTAAAATATTAAGAGAACTTATCATGAGTACTGACTTATTAAAAAATTTCATGAAGTGGGATGCCTGTTTCGATTGTTGAGCAAAACGATAATGCTGAAGTGAAATTGTAACATGATATATCTATCTTACCTTARGGAATTGTTATGATATTTGGGGAGCAAACTGAATGCATCTGAGTCCTTGCTCGCCTCAGCTCTTTGAAAGAGAATGCTAAGATGATGATGATTCAATGSCGGGATGCCTGTGWTCAAGTTCAATCCATGATCTCATGAGCCTCAATAATCTCACCATTCCTACCGGTGTTAACCATGTTGATGCGATGTTTTGATTCTTATCAAAGGTATTCAATTGGTGAATGATTAACGTAATAACGATCATCTGAGAGGGAATTCTGTCGTGATGATCATCAAGAGGTGGTATCCCTGTGTTCCAGTTCAATCCAGAATCTCATGAGCCTCAATAATTTCCGAGTCGTGCRAGTGGTACGACTGGTGAATCGATTTGAACACKCATACCAAGAAATTCAATTGGTGAATGATTAACCAAAGGAAGATTTTGTCACGTGACTGATATGTTTAATAATAAAAATAAATATTTGGAAGCAAACTGACGAGCGCTACCACAGGTACGATCGAAATGAGCATACTAAAAGGGTAGCGTGCGAAAGGATTTTTAAATTGAAAGATTTCTTTAGCGCCCTTTTTCCCTTTGTGCTATCAGTAGGTCAGAGATTGATTTTTGATCAATATTTCTGGGTTTACTAAGTCGTTTTGTTGTTGTTGTTGTTTTATTTTATTTATTTTTTTGTTGTTTCATTTTGTTTTTGTTTTTTTTGTTTTTTGGCTGTTTTTTTTATTAGTTTGCTTGTTTTTTGTCTGTTTGTCGTCAGTGACTATCCCGTGTTTGCCGAGTCAATATTTAAGTATAATATTGACTCAGGAGAACATGATAAATTACAAAGCTCGAAAAGACAGAGAAATACTAGCTTAAAAATGACAAGGAAAAACTTACGGTGATTAAGCGAAATGTCTTTCAAATAAACTTTTTATAGCGTAAGCTAAGAGTCCCGATATTTAATACAATAGAATCGCATAGACATTTACACCTTAAAAGACAAAAGTCTTTGTAGCCCCCGCCATTCACTTTTGGACACCTAACAAACATATAATAGCACAACCAGAACACAATCGTCATTGAGCAAAAATCTTTTTTTATTTCTTAGAGTTTAGATAATTTTCTGTGCTTTACATTTCATCATATTACATTTGATTTGTTTTCTTTGAAAGTCCTTCATTCCTTTGGCACCCTCTAATGCATGAKACTTTTACAGATGCGCACCGTTTACATTTGAATTCATTGCCAGGGCCACTGCATTCTACTAAAAAACAATGGAAATACGAAGTACGACAATAATCAGAACAATCTTGGAACTGACTTGCATTTGTCTTTTCTATCATAGTGACAACGAGGAATAATAGCAGTAGRCCCTTGTGACTTTCCATCTGAAAAGCAAATGTAAGAACTTTTTGAATTTTTGAATCATAAAATAATATCAATGAATTAAGAAACGGGAAAAAGCAAAACAACCTAAATAAAATGCGAACAAAATAATTCGCCGGCGATTAGAATTCTCTCAGGAGACACAAAATTCAAAATTGCTGGCTTCGCCCGTGCCTGTACTGTGTGTCGGACAATGCTGGTGTCACCGGCTTGACGTAATTTCAACATGCATGATGATAGTTACCATGGATTGACACTACTGAGCAAAACCATTTAATCAGCACAGCAGCTTCAATAAGAATTTTTTTTAATCATTGGCGGAGATTATCGGAAATTTCCAAAAAATGTTACTTCTCTTATTCATTAACAAATTTCTAGCACTAAACTCAATCTGTTTAAACTTGTTGTTACGTTAAACAATTTTAAAAATGTCGTCCTAAAGAAACAGAACATTTGCTGACTTCAGTGCTAAAGGACTAGACAATGAAAAGCATTCAAGTAATGTTCTTTTATCTAAAATGACTCCAATTTTCATTAAAAGTGTAAAAGTTATATATACCACCACGTTTTTGTAAGTAGGTGTATATTAATTCATCCGATAAGAGTCTGTATAATCTCGACACTCAAAATATGTACTCAAAGATTTCATTGTCCCTGRCATACACACGGAAATTTCTAGTGACGAATTTGCCCATTCTTTCCATCAAATCAAGCGTAAAATCAATGTGGGAGGAGCTTKGTTGAAAAGGTTTTTTATGAMKATTGTGAATGCTTTTCACCTTTCATTTCGTCGTTTCGTCTTAATTCAAGCTATTTGTAACTCTTATTAGCAAAGAAATGCATTTAGTGATTTTACTCCCATGCACTTTAGAGAATTGAAATMGCAAGTCTGAAATCCTGTTCACATGAGACCAGAGTTTTTGTCTTTTTTTGACCCCGATACAAAAATATTTGCGTCTACGGATARCATACGAATCGTATACGACCGTCCACATGTATCCGCTGCGCACGGATTCCATCTTAAAGATAAGTCAAAAGAGCATGCTCATTACAGTAAAAGCTAATACTCTGATGTGATGTACACAAAGATATCATGCGCGCTCTGATTGGCTGATATGCGGTCTGATATTTTCCCATCTGGGACTGTTACCATGACAATACGTGTCGTATCAAACTTAATGATGACRAAAAGTCCGTGTTCACTCAAGCTTAACCTGACAGTCCGTWTGAAGTGTCAAATTCGACGAAAAGAGACCAGATTTCAAGACTTTTTGAAAAAATGCAATGATATTAAAGACAATCCTAAAAACCTACCATCGAATCTAAGAAATAAAATATATATGTGACCTTTCTGTGTATTCTTCGTGAGAAAAATTGAAAATCCAATGTRTTTTCGCCTTTGAAGAGTTTGAGTTGAGCATCAAAATAGCCAGGCGATCACAGGGAGCCCAAGCTTGGCATTTGTGTACTTTTTAGAAATATTTAAAATATAAAAAAAATAAACATCTCTACCTGTGTCTTGTGTTTTCCTTTACTTTTCTGTAAAGTTTCAGGCCATTTCCTTCAATTTTGAGGGTTTCGGAGAGCAAAATCCGAGATATTTTTTTAAAGCTTTTTGCTTTTCTAATGACCGATAAACCTATATATTCTTTTTTAAAAAAATATTTGTGCTCTTTTTCGGCCTCTTCATTTATAACATATCAAAAGATCTAGGCAGACATCTAGGCAGTCACCCGACGTATGGCAATAAGTTTGATATGACCAGATTCGCGAAATTGATAGCGATAAGAAGTTTAGGGCGAGGCGTTAGTAACTGGAAACAAGATAGGGGTAACTTCCTCTGGTTTCTAGTTACTGCATGTGGTACAAATTACAATCAGGGATTGACAGGATAGCTTATGAGTAATTAACGAGTATGAGAATTCACGGTAAAATAGGCATTTTKCATGAAACGATCACATGGTACTAAATCCGCCATATTGCATGTCAAAAGAATGTAAATAACCTCAAAAAAAAAACAAACAAAAGGTACGTAGCCCCCCCGGGGGTACTCCCTCCCCAACTTGGGTGTGGGTGTGCCGCACGACCTTTCAAAGAAGTACCCTATCGAGCGGCACATACCCGTATAGCAAATATAGAGGAGTACCCTTCCCGGGGTAGTCCGTCAAGCTTCATGGTTTTTCTCTGTTTTGAACATCCCAGTGGGTATTTTGCCATCYAGTATGTCSGGTTCAAGACCTAATTTGGTATTCMAATTTTCTAAATTTCTTTTTAAAACGAAAAATGTACAAGTAACGTTACTTAAAAAYTTCATATATTAAATGTTTATTGGTATCTAATCGGTTATTTCCCATTCCATTCAGGTCAGTATATACCAAGCTAGACGGCTGCTTTCATAAATCAGTTATACAACAACTRGATTTGACTGTTTTCGCTGATTCTACTGCAATTTTCCAACACGAATCACTCCTTTTTCAAATTTTACGCAAATGGTACAAATTTTTTCGATAGGCGGTCCGGACGAATTGTCATGGTAACGGTCCGAGATGGGAAAATATCATCAGATCCCAAATCACCCAATCAGAGCGCGCATACTATCTTATATACTTGTAATAATGACGGGTCGATGTTTACCTCAGTATATGTATATATGAAGATCACCCAATAAAGCGGATCTTGTTTTGCCTTTAAGGAAAAAAAGGTAAGTGACATTGTAATAATCCAGTTTCGAACTCTCCAATGTTCTGTGTTAGCCTCATTTTCATGTACGCAAAATAATTCTTGTTAGTGAGAATAAAAGTGTGACTGGATTTCAAATCAATTCTATTGTCTTTCTTCTCAAATTCCACGATGCAGATTCTCGGGATATCAATGAAACAAAAAATTATGTTACTTGGTTTTGAGGCTAACACAGAGCAAACCAGAACTCGAAATTGGAGTATTGCTAAATATYTTAATTGTCATTTTTGAGTGAATTTGCRAAGCAGTTTCTCAGAAATTACTGCTTTGTATCCTTTGTATCAAACAAATTCAATACGATTACAGTACTTCTTATCTCAGGCCGATCACTACAGACTAYAGACATTAAAAAGATGAAATTATAGAATGAACTTTACAGATTGGTTCAGCTGCACAGCAACTTCTTTTGTTATTCAATTACTTCCTGATTTTATGTTTTGTTTTTGATATTTTCATTTTTGAATATCTGATCAATATATAGATAATAGATCATAACGGTTTTATATAAGGACAACGCCAGTGTGAGACGAAAAATTTAAAACTCAATTTATGAAATTGCGCAATCACAAATCGTTTTTCAGCGTTTTCTGAAAAAAATATATTTTTGTACAATCAATTGACGAATGCTGCTGGTAATCAACCTAACAACTGCTCAAACGAAAGAAATGTTATAGTTATTTTTTTTTTCAATCGTTTCTTTTGAGCCAGTTGCTGTTGAGTCCAGAACCTGGGCGTTCCCAAGGTATCCATCCTCGTGACCGTGAACATGTGTAAAACACTCATTGAAAATACCCCCCAGAAGAACAAGTTTTAAAATTTGACAAAACAATTCGTAATTAATTGATTAAGAAGTTAAGAAACATTCCACCAAGTACTTCCTTTTTCATTCGACTCGATAATTCCTTCATTCATTTCTCGATGTTCATTCGTCTCATCACAAGACTAATTTCATTTGTCAATCATTCTATCTCATCTCTTCTCTTTGCTTCTCTTTGCCTTCTTTCAGGGTCCTTTTTTCTATTTCCGATTTCTATTATGCTTTCTTGTCCATTGTTCTGAGATGTTTGACTATTTCCTGTTTCTCTCATTGCTTCACACATTCTAATTTCACGTCTTTCATTCCTTYCTTAGTATTTAACTCCACATTACCTTTTAAAATCTCTTGTACTGTGGGTTTGGTGTTGAATGAACAGCGATAAAATTGGCGTTTAAATACTTGCAGAACAATKGTAATCCATTGTTATACATTTATTGACAAGCACGCAGTTAGTGCCAGATATCAGATCAACGAGATAATTACAACATAGGGACAGATGCGACCAGTTATCCGGTCTTTTGGAATTTCAGAATTTCAGAAAAGCAAAGACAATAGAACTACAAACATATAGCAAACTGTAGATGTTATCAAATTAAAACGGTTCCGGGTACAAACGTTTTATAATTTTGAATTTTTATGTTTCATACTATTTATGACCTCGATAGTATCATACAATTAGCCATTTTGAAAGACAMATATACTATATTTTGGTTTCTACTTGATTTCAAGACATCCACGCCTAAAACGTACACATTGAAAATAATTCGACGGTGCTTCAATTAGTCCATTATTTTATGTCCAAGAGATCTTCAGCAGCTGTTATTACATCGCATCTGCGCATGTCACAAGTGGCATCAAAAATCTCAAAGTCAAAGTAAATAGTTATGTTATATATAAATGTAAATAAGTCACTGGTGCGCGGAATTCAGGTAAAGACTGCTACTCTCCTTTTTCCTATTGTCATACACTGGTTCTTGTGAAAWGAGATCAACAAATGTTTGGACCTCTAATAACCGATTTGAAAGAATGTAATGGTATTATTCAGTCAAGAGTTGCTTTAGATATCAATCGAAATGAGYATTTGGTCTTCCTACTACTGTCAATGGAAAACTTATAGGCGGTTACTATTTTTTTAAAAATATCTTTCTTCTGTGCTGTTTATTTGTTTTTCTGGTCAGTGAAGATTGTGAATGGAACAGAGGCGATACGCATTTACGTCAAAAACTGACTCATTGTTTGTATCTAAACAAAGAATATATTTTTGTTGAATGAATAAGTAATTGTTATATTGCCTTTTTCTCGTGAAATGAAAGCTTACCCAATCTGTTTGAACACTTTGACACARGGGTTTTAGAATACATGTATTGAATACTCAGTATAATATCAATTTGGTTTGTATATAWTAGGTCCAAAATTCTTATCCAGTTKAAAATCGATAACAATGCTCCAACATTTCCGAACAAAAAAAGCTGCTCTCGTTAGATTTCTGATATTCGAACGATTGTGTAGCACTTTGATTGAGAATGAACTAGATCAAATAAACATTGTACCTAAATCACTACAAACTAGTCCAACGCGATGGCCGATTCGATGGCCAACGTTGATAGGTATGTATCGATCAGACATAAAAGAATCTCATAATAACGCTTGAAGATTTCATCAGTGTGTTACAATATARCTGATGCAACAATGTCATCACAACCGACGAAATAAAGGGATGAAAACAAAAACGTTTTCACTATGTTTGTGATCTCAAACTTGCACAATTATTTCGAATTGGAAATCGACAAATTATTATCAACAAATGTCGCTCAAAAGTTGTCAGTAATAATATTTTGAAGAAAAYATAAACTCCTCAATTCCTTTTAAAAATTTTCCRGTTTTTTAGAGTAACAAAATGACCTGTGCGGCAATTATTGATGTTTTGTGGTTGCTACTAGCTTCTGAAGCAAACTAGTCCCTCTGTAGTAATTAATACTAGCTACTACTATAATTTTTAAGGCCGGCTTTACACTTAACAGCGCTACCGAAATGTTGTCAAAAAAGCGGCATCTAAGCTACTGAATATTAGTATACCTAATTTCATTGTTTTCTTTTCCTTCAATCTATTACACACTAACATGTAATTCTTATTCACGTTACTTCGATAAGAACTGCCAACAGCTAATACTGATATATAGTTGTCTAACTATTTCACGGGTTAGGTGTAACGGTGGAAATCACTTTCTACTAGTACTATACAGSCACCCAATGCTAGTACAAATGCTTCTAATTACTACTGTTGCTTTATAAATATTGGTATTACCGTTAAGTGACTTTTATGATTGAACTGTATTATATTTACAAACCAGTACCTCTCTGATGCGTTTGTAAATCTTGCCAGTCACTGACAGTAAGCTGCTGATATAAGGTATATAAGATATTGCCTGTTTAGTATTATGGGATATTGCCTGGACAACAGATTGTGGGCAAATTATAGTGATTGTTTTGTTAAAAGTTGTTATTAAATCACAATTTATCCATGTTTTATCCCTTCTATGTGAGATGTTTTATATTTATCTCGAAAGTGTACTCTAGATGAATAAACTGAAAGCCAAACCSATACTATTACTACTAAATTACCATTATTACTGTTTAAAATATGGGACAGAGTGTTTTGTTACCACAATTCACAAATTCTTCAGAGCCCCTGACGATTAAGAAATTCACATATTCATTTTAAAGAGCATAAAAGTATCAAAAACTGAGCCAGCGTCAATGTCTATAGCGGAAATGCACCAAGTGCAGGTTCATGGCGGCGGCTTTTTTTCGACTTTGGAGGGAAAACGGATTTAAGTGCTCAGAGTATTTCGTTATCGCTATGTCACTCAGAAACCTTTCAATTAAGCTTTGTATCGTAAGTCAAGCGGATACAACGCACCCCGTTGAGTTCCACCACTGAACACCTTAGTCTAATTGATTTCGTTCAATCATCCGCTTATTCCTTTGCTCGTTTTCGATCCATTTATCATAAGATCTTTCTTTCGCTCCTTCATTTTTATTAATGTACTCTGTTTKGTTCAGATAAAATCCGGCTTTWTATATCGGGACTGCTTGAAAGTTACGTTTATTCCTATTAAAGTGAGCCGGAATGGTGACTCGCTAGTGCTACACTCGAGCACGAATTGCGTCTTAATAGAATTATCTTTACTACTTTTATTTTCCCATTTCCTTTCCATTGAGGTAAAGTGGTTATGTTAAATGATAATGGCATGTCTATAATGATCACATAAAGGTTTTTTCAAACTCTACCGCAAACATGGACAGCTGAACATCACAGTTAGTACACTGAGTATAAATTGTAGTCTTTTAGAAATTAACCCAATTAACTAACTCAGGCTCCCGAAATTAAAAATGCCTTGAGATCAAAGAGGATCAAGAGGATCAAGGATACGTGATACAATTCTTATATYATTCTTGTATCTTCATGGACATTTATCAGTTGCGACCTTTAACGTTCTAAGATTCTAAAGTATTGCCGATATATTTCTTTCAGTTGAATTTAAATATTCACATKTTTGATTCTTGGCTAAATATCGGCTAAAAAAATTGATCGCGGAGTGGAATGAAGAGCAGGAATTGATATAAAAAGTAGTATATCAAAAGGAATGAAAATTAAAGAAGAACCAGCACGTGTTTTGAAGTAAAATAGTAATTTGAAAAAGGTATTCTTTAGTTCTATTGGTGAAACTRTTGTCMCTCAGACTGCATATTTGCACAAGATTAGTTGATTAATTAACAAAGTGTTGGGGAAGCAGTTTAAAAAGATGGCCACTGTTTGTTTATGTGCAGCTCAACATCAAAAGAACGAAYATTAGACTTACTTATTTGAGCAGTGAGGATTATTGAAAGAGCAGCTAGCCATTTTTCGACTCTACCCGATAAATCATAATCATCATTATTGACTGCAGGTTCATTCAACGACCAGCCTTATATCGAATATTTGTTGTCCATGTTGGTATTCATGTCAGTTTCATTATCATCAGTCATTTTACCATATAAAAAAAAACAATAAAAAAACAGACGATGATGAAGACAACAAAACTGAAAAACATCAAATTGTAAAAGAAGGACATATTCATTGCACTCATACATACAAGACTACTATGGAAAGATTTTAGTTAAAAATCAAATATTGTAAGGTCCACTGTTTCTTGATGTTTTGTACACGTTAGATGGACGTTCCATAGTATTCATTACAATAATTCTATTTTGTATGTTGTTATTTACTGAGTGAAACCTATTGACCCATTTGGTTCAAAAGTGTACAGAAAGCTGTGACAGAAAACGTTCTTCGTAATTAATACATTTTTAGCTAAATTTCAAACATTTTTAGCTAAGTTTCAGAGTCAAGGACATAATAGCGTTTAAAAACAAATACGTACAAAATACAATATAAACACGTAGAGGAATAAAGATAGAAAAAGTTCAATTCCATTGGTCTCTGTTAATTACTTCCTAGTAGTTCTTTTAATCTTTGATAAGACTGTTTTTGCTGTTCTAGGAGAAAAACGTTGCATCTATTCTTCCGCCATCAAAAATATATGAAAGTAGACCTACTAAAGTACGACTACTTTCCTTGATTAGAGAAGACATTAGCGCGAAACTAACATCTATTTTCTAGTCTTCTGCATAATGGAGTGTTATATTGACTTACCTGATATCTTGCAGCTACTGATTTTCTAGGAAATCAAGARTGTATCCACGTGAATACTTTTCGGGTGGCCTTTAATACTTTCGACTTCTTTTGTTAAGTGTATGAATGACACATTGGATTTAAACATTTATTGATTATTTGCCAAAGTTCTTCCTGATCCGTTCAATAAAACTCTCAAGAGAAGGCAACTAACGCACAGGTCGTTAGTAAGTAGGAGTAAAAGTTTAATTTCCTTGCCGGAAACGTGTGGAATGTTTAAACTTCCAACGGAAAAAAAGCTTTACTTTAAAGGAATGGTAAATCTAGAATARTAAATCTCATCTTTTAATCCCGCTTTTCAGATTACAGAAAATCGAATCATCTTTTATATCATGAAGAAAAYTGTTATTAAGCTAACTGAAACAATTGATTAAAATGCAATCTTTACGTAGGTATATATCATTTTAAAATGCAATCTTTATGTAGGTATACAGCTATTTCAAAAAAGGTTGTCGGGGAGAACGGCGAACTACGTCGAAGGGAGTTTGCACGACCGAAAGAGATTATGGTTACATTGTTTTGATAAACAAAATTTAACTTATTGGATTCACCTTACATAGAAATGGTGACTAAATGGAGCMAATGTTTACCACAAATCAGTTGTTATTKCCTTTCAACTAGCAAAACCCATGGCTACTTTATTCGGTCGTGCAATCGCCGTCCGACCATTGACATTCGCCATTTTATCCGACAACCTTTTTTGAAATGGCTATATATCATTTTAGAATGCAGTCATTATGTAGGTATATATCCCATTTTAGTGATGATTAAGCACTATATCCAAAATGTTTTATTTTACGGAAGAATAGAACATATTGAAGGCTATAAGTGTTAAAGTACTTTGACTATGATCAAGACTTTTGGCAGGTTTGCACTACGGAAGAAGAAGAAAAAAGAAAACACAAAGGACTCAAGCGTTGTGCGCWTGTGCTTATGTCGAATAGTAAACWGGCCGTTAGACACACACAAGCACAGTTTATAAGCACTTAAYAAACAGCAACTTGATGACAGTCGTCRTATTTTCAGCTGAGATTCGTATCATGTCACATGAAAATCGTATATTTACTTTATAATCRTTATGAATAGAAAGAAATAGCAAGGACAATGTTTTGCTTTCGATGGACATATTTGCGATTTCGTCCTTTCAGGCTGTCTCCGAYTTGTTTTGTTTTTAAACGCAAGCATTTCCTAAAKCACGTTTTCCCGAAAAGTCCTTTTATATYAATATAGCGTTGAGCATTTTTATATCATTTGTATAACGAATTACTAGATCTAACGGGTATACGAACACTGTTTGTGAAAGAAGAAGTCGGCGCACACGCACAGTAACAAACTAGATGGAAATTGAAAATTTGTTCTTCCTCWATTGAGGACTGACTGCTGTAAAACCTCTTTTATTTTTAGTAAAAACATTACACTATTTCTGGAAACTTACGAAGGTTGAAACCAAAAGGCTTGTCTGACGTCTTCTGATATTTTGAGTGATCGACTAAAAATAAACAAAGTGCTCATCGCTTTGAATATCAAACTCAAGGTTTGAACCAAATTCAATGGATGGTCATCTGAGACTTCTAMAAAAAGTCGTATCTTCAAGACGACGGAAGCCATTTAGTGAGAAATTGTTATTTTCCAAATTATTCAAGTATGTACGTTGAGGACAAAAGTATCGAAGGAGCCCGTTGGGAGGGGGCAATGCCAATTTAATGTATGCAAGTCAGTGGCACAAAGCACCAAATAAAATCTTCTGTCTGCCTGTCAATTTGTGTATAAACAAGGCTCTGTTTTGTGATATTTTACTGTGATATAGCTGAATTATACCTCCAGATGAAAGTTGGCGATAATGACATTAATATTTGCCTGTAACTAATGGTTTCCTGGAATTGCATCTTAAATCTTATGGAATCACAAAAAATGAACAGAATAAACAGACTCTATMTAACTCTAAAATTACCAATTTAGAAGTCTAATCCTTCGAATATGATGAAGTCATGGTGTTGTAGTTACGTGTGTGAATCTTTTTATTTCAAACAAATTAAATATACTGATTCGACCGTATTCACACCACCGATCACGGACTGAATTCGCCTTTGCAGCATTTGCAGTTTATCCTTTTTATATCTTGTACCTTGAACACTAAGGACAATCTTTTCGGTTAGGAAAGATAAGATTTCAACTTTTGATAATTTTTATATAAAATGACAGCACGATTTTTTGAAGCTGGCTCAAAAATTTCTCTAAATGTTTCTCGWAAGTGTTCAGGAGGAGCCGACGGCGTCTGTTTTCCTAAATATCTGTTCTTGTATGTTTTGTTTTCCTAGTCAAAAAGGGATTTTGAGCTACATTGTTGCCAATCGTACAAGCAAATGTGGCGCCCTTCCTTCTTTAAAATAAATTTGTTCCTGCCAACCGAGGCAAACGTTTTAAGAAAAGGCTTACATAACGTTTTTATGGTCAAAACGGATTATATAACGTTATTACAATACTTTTTTTGGTCCTAAGGAATTTATATTCCTGGCAAACGTCTATATGGTAAAAAAACGTCTTATATATTTTTTACTTTCCTGGCAAAAATTCTTAGAAAGTATTCTTTGCCTGGAGAGTTCAGTCTTTTTTTCTGAATTTCTCGCTGGCAACCAGTGCGACTTACAGCTGGCTGGGACATAAGAACTGGTCTATTTCTCCTAGGAACCCGTCGGCTCCCCCTAAGTGTTTCTACTGTTATCCTTTTCAAAGACAACCTAAGACAAGGGTTGTTATTAGCTTTAGAGAAAATGTGAGTATTTATAAACGTTACAGCCATGCCACATATCGTGCTCTAAGAATTAGTATTCAGTTTACCTGAAACAAGGCTTGTTCTTGCGCTGTCCTTTTCTTCAATGCCAACAACATCCAACTACAATAGTTCTCATATATGGGGCCGTTAATGCGGGACATCTGTTAGACTTCATTTACGTCAGTTCTTTGCAGTGACTGCACTTAACACCTCAACTTACTCTAAAAMATTCTGGCTTGTTAATAACTGGCCATCTACTTTTTTCAATAAGGCTTAACGACGCAAGCCACTGCCACATTATTTTAATAATTTAAAAATCTTTGAATTCACAGATAAATTTCGTTTTTTATTACTGGCGTTCATTTTTCACACAATAATGACAATACTTTCATGAAAGAAACTTAAATATTAACGAGTACCATAATGCATGCAATGAAAAAGGAAGAAAGATTCCTAGGTTAACACTCGAACTGAAGCTATCCTCTTAAAATTACCAAAGAAACTTTCTAGTTATCKATTGATTTATCCAGTTTTGAAAGTTTTATTTTTGTGTTTTAATCAACGGTTACAAAAAATTGAACAAATGATTGGCTTCAGTGTTACTCTTAGGAGGCAGTAATGAACTAAAAGACTAAAYAATCATTCAWTAATCAACCTGGAACTTTCCCYGCTCTCATTTAAGTCAACAAGACCTAACGGTACTCTCCACAGCGGGCAACTATCAGCGCATAGAGCCTGCCGACACCGCTATGCAAAAATACTTGCTTCGTGTTTGTTTCTAAAAATATACTTGGCACAGTTTTCAGGAAATAGAAAAAAACTCTATTCAAAATCTAGTGTTAAAGATTCGAGGAACAAAGCAGCCGAATAACTGATCCCTGTGTTTTCCTGAGAAAAATGCCAAATATCAAAAAATAGCCACAAAAGCACTAAGTTGTTCTTGTAATTCGGAGCAATTTTTTAAAAATATTATTTTCTGATCGATGGCGTTCTCTTTAATTTGAAGTTGTGTACGAAACGAAGACTTMAACCAGAATGAAGTTGGTCCAAAACATTAATGAAAACTTCGCTTGGTAGAACCCAACCAAATCCTATCCAATCTAGACAACAAAATTGATACAAGTGAAACAGTAAGAACTACATCGAACTACATAAGTAGTGCTCCTATAAATCAGGGTTATTTAAGATTTCCAATACTTTTTCCCTACTGCTGCAGGTGTACTTCGCTTTGTAGTCTCGAGAACATTTTCAGTCAAATCTGCAAAACGGAGAACAAATACTTTTAATCACTTTTAAGGTTTAATATCTTTATCTTTCAAATCTTCTACAWCCGTACGTACCTTCATGCTCTTTAAGATCTTCTTCATCTAATCTTTTGGTTAAACCCTCTTTTAATCTTAACCTGTATGGTAAAAGAGCGTTTTCTTTCTCTGGTCCTGAATTGTGGAATAGATTGCCAAGTGACATAACAGCTCTTCTCTGTCAAATTTAAAAAAGCCCTTAAGACCTGGCTTTTAAAAAAGGCATATTTCTWTCGCTGTGTCTATATGGCCGGTTACYGGTCAAGGTCTTGAAAATGCTATCTCTTGTTATCTAAACGAGCTTCCAAACTACAAAATAAAACTCTATGAGTAAAATGAGCGTGTTAAAACGTGTTGAAGAGATCAATAAAAAAACTTCTCAGGACTACAAAATCTGGTCTTTATTGTTAACCGTTATTGACGTGAGTACAAAGGTTGAACTATACTTTGATCATCCAGTCGCGCACCGAGTACATAAATGCTTTTCTTCGTCCACACTGAAAAATATTTTTGGACATACATTTTCTTATACAAAATGGAAGCCATTTTCTCTATGTTTGCGCGTTACAACGCATGCACGTCGTCATCTTAAGCCTGAATTTCTAGCAATGTTGAGACTTTTCTCGAAGAGAGCCATGTATACACACCTTAGTATCTTATTGGTCGAGAATGTGCCACGTGAGAGTCACAAAATTTTACTGTTTTCCGGCAACTGTCCACCAACGGTCAATAATATGTTGTGGACCGTCAATAAGTACAAATTCGCAGAAAAACAATCTTTATTGTTATATTGGTAAATTATTTTCACTGTTTTCTCGCTCTCTTWTTGGACGATTCGGTGTCACGTGTCCGGAGCTAAAATCAACTGTTGACTGATCGGTCAACAGTTTGGCGATTGTTGACCGCTTGGCGGGAAAAGGCCGCCTCTCGTCGAGTAACAGTTTGTAAAGGCGGGAATTGTTTTTTGCTGCTTTTGACTGTTTWCAAAATGGAGCCGGCATCAAAAAGATTTTCAAATCTTAGTC